TCACGCCTTCAAAGAGGATCCAGCGGTGCCGCCGCAGACGCCTGGTGGCATGATGGAGCTGCTGAGCGGGGCCAAGATAGTGCCGTGCCGGACCACGCACCGCTCCCTCAGCCATTCTTCGTTGGCCCCGGCAGCGGGCCCGGCAGCGACCGCGGCGCAGGGCCTGAATGTTTTGGGCGCCCTGCTGCAGCAACTCCTTGGGGGGCAGCCGCTGCAGCAGCAGCCGAGGATCCAGATCATGGAGCCGCAGGCGAAGCGTTTGCAGTCTATGTTGCAGTCCATGCCGGCGGAGCACAGTCCAGAGCCGCCCTTCAGACATGGCGCCTCCGACCAGTCTGCTGCGCCCTCTGACAGCGCTGGTACCGCGGAAGCTGCCCGGAGCATGCCGCTCGCGCTCACGGAAGGGCCGACCGATTCCGGTGCCACTGGAAGCGCAGACTCTGCAGCGCAGATGTCAGGGGCTGCGCGCGCAGATGCCAAGGCAGATGATCCCGCGATGGCGCTGCAGCAGGAAGCCAGCCGGAAGCCAGAGCCCGTGCCGCTGGAGGAGAGCCTCGCCCGGTTGACCGCCGCAGCGGAGACCGCGCGAGGTGACAAGCCGATGCACATGAAGCGCCCGGCGTCAGCCGAAGGCGGGGGCCGCCAGCCACGGGTGCTCAAAAAACCCGCTGCTGCGGACCGGCAGTCGGAGCCAATGAAGAAGCCGTCTGCCAAAGCGGCCACAGTCATGCGGCGCCCCGCAGCTGCTGCAGGAGAAGGCGCGGGGAAGCCCATGCCGCCGCGGAACACGCAGCTTCGCTTGAGGCCACGTGGATGCTCGCGGTGCCGCGGACGTGGCGGGTGCACGCCTTCTTGCTGGAGGCGCCGAGGATACGGCGACTGATCACGCATGCGTGGAGATCGACGGCACGCATGGAGCTCGGGCAAGAAAAAAACCACGGAGCCACAGCGGCCGGTCCGCTCAGGGAACGCCACCTATATAGCGGCGGGTCCGCTCTGCTTTTATATAGCACGTCTACGGAGCCACAGCGGCCGGTCCGCTCAGGGAACGCCACCTATATAGCGGCGGGTCCGCTCTGCTTTTATATAGCACGTCTACGGAGCCACAGCGGCCGGTCCGCTCAGGGAACGCCACCTATAGCGGCGGGTCCGCTCTGCTTGCGCGAGGATGTTTCCTCTGTGACTTCCCGTAGCCAGGCTCAGGCAGCCTATAGGCGGGCACAGTGGTGCATGGCGGACTGGCCATGACGTACCACCTGGTGCAGACTCCGGAGGGCAACTGGCTGAGGTACGTCATGCAGCACGATGGCACGCTGCGGCTCGCGGACGAGGCGCCCCAGACGAACGCAGCGCCGCTCCCGGCTGGCAGGCGGCCCCTCCGGCAACGCCCGCCTCCGGCCAGCGCCGCGCCTGCGCGGCCGCTGGAGCCGCCTCTGGTGGCTCGACGGCAGTTCTATCACAGGTTAGCGGCTGGACCGCTCAGACGATCCCCGCACGTGCGCGGCATTGCCGTGTTTTCTGATTCGATGTAGCGGCTGGCCCGCTCAGATCCCCATGCGCCCATGCAAAGCGGCTGGTCCGCTCAGATTTTTCTTTGTATATATATATATATATATTTTTTTAGCGGCCGGTCCGCTCCGTCACCTCACATGCTCAGGAGAGGTCGCCCCAGGCGAGCAACATCGTCGACACGGAGCACGTGGCGACGGTGCAGCGGATCCTGGAGGACGGCCTTGGAGAGCGAAGCGAACTTGGCCATGGAGCGTGACGCGAGCCTGGCCACGGAGCACGGCGCGAACCGGGCGGCCAGGCCGCCGCCGTGGCGCGCTCCTGCGGCCGCCCGCAGCCACAACAACAAGGCCGCCCCCGCCCGCAGCCACAACAAGGCCGCCCCTGCACGCTGCCCCCAAGGCCGGCGCCACGTACTTAGCTGCAACGCCAAAGTGGCCCCCACCCGCAGCCCCCGCCGGAGACTTGCCCGCAAGGGGCGCGCCGCAGCCTGAGCCCGCTGCAAGCGCGTCTGGGTCAGCCCCTGCGCCTGAGACGGGCGAGCGGGACACCGCCAACTGGCGACAGCGCCGGGATGCTGTGACGCTGGCTGCGGCGCTGAACGGCACCAGCAAGCGGATAGCGGAAAAGGAGCTCTACGGCGCCAATAAGAGGCACCGCGGCGGCCAGCACAAGGACTGGCACGGCTACTGGTCCCGGCCTAGATGACGCAGCCAAGAAAAGGGAAAAAATGGCACACCACAGCGGCCGGTCCGCGCAGACTGCCCCAGCGGCTGGCCCGCTCAGACTTCGCGGCTGGCCCGCGCAGACTGCCCTGGCGGCTGGCCCGCACCGACTCATACATAGCGGCCGGCCCGCTCAGACTGCGCTCGCGGCTGGCCCGCGCATCATACAGCGGCGGGTCCGCTCAACCTGCACTCGCGGCTGGCCCGCGCAGGCTCATACGGCGGCGGGTCCGCTCAACCTGCACTCGCGGGTGGCCCGCGCAGACTCGTATACAGCGGCGGGTCCGCTCAACCTGCACTCGCGGCTGGCCCGTGCAGACTCACATGACGGCGATTCTACTCGAACTGCAGCCAGACTCCACACTCCAGACTCCAGACTCCAGAATCCAGATTCCAGATTCCACACTCCACACTCAAGTCTGGAGTCTGGAGTGTGGAGTATGGAGTGTGGAATCTGGAATCTGGAACGTGGAGTCTGGAGTGTGGAGTATGGAGTGTGGAATCTGGATTCTGGAGTCTGGAGTCTAAAATCTGGAGTGTGGAGTGGAGTCTGGAATCTGGAACGTGGAGTCTGGAGTCTGGAGTGTGGAGTGTGGAATCTGGAATCTGTAGACTCCAGAATCCAGATTCCACATTCCATACTCCACACTCCAGACTCCAGATTCGAGATTCCAGACTCCAGACTCCCACTCAGACTCCAGACTCGAGATTCCAGACTCCTCACTCCACACTCCACAGTCCAGACTCCAGATTCCCGACCCCTGACTCCTGATCATTTTCGGGTGGAATTCGGCCACTGGGCCAAGTTAAGTTATGTTAAGTCGTGGTGATGTGGCTGGCCTCGCGGGGACAAATTTGCCAGTTAAGTTGATTGAGCTACAATAGGAACTCCACGGCTCATCGCGCCCCGCCCAAGTTAAGTTAAGTTAAGTTTTGTTAAGTTCGACAAAACTGGAGCGGCCTTTCCGGGCTCGGGCAGGCGGCTGTCTCGGCATGCGTGGAAGCGATTTCGGGCAGGCGCTCTTCTCAAGGTACCGGCGCGCGTCCTCTCTTCTGACTGCCCTGCCGCGACCCCATGGCGGACACCATGCCCGAAGCCGAGACGGCGGTGCCGCAGGAGCCGGGCGCACCAGGCGCGCGCTGCTTCCGCTGCGGCCTGGACAAGCTGTCCGACGAGCTTGTGGGCATCAGTGGGCGCCGCTCGACTGTGTGTAAGACGTGCAACAGCACCGGGGCGATCTTGACCAAGCATGGCCTGAAGCTGTCGGAGCTCCTTCACGAGGGCCACATGATGCAGTTCTTCCGTGACTGTCACAAAGACAAGCTCGACAATGGGCACTTGTCCTACACCCGGCTCCGCGACATGGTGAAGAAGAGCATGATCGCCCGCCGCACCACGCAGGTCACGGAAAGCAGTAGCGGCTCGTACTACCCCTTGTGCTACTACGAAAAGCAGGGCTACAGTCCGGCGTTGTTGGACAAAATCCGCCTGCAGGGGAAGCAGAAAGAGCACCCGCTGCTGGGGACCACCTACCAGGTGTCCATCGACACGGTCACCACCGTAGAGATCACGGAGACCGTGGAGCAGCAGCTGCTGGAGCGGGAGGAGAAGTTGCGCGCGAAGCGGCCAAGGCCCAGAAGCTTGACTTCGAGGACTTGCCACCCCTGCAGGAGGGCGACCAGGAGATCCTGGAGGAGCTCAGCTCTCACGAGGACACGCCGCCCGCCAGCAAGAAGCGCCGCGCCGGGAAGAAAGCCGGGGCGAGCAAGGAGGATGCCGCGGCACGCAGGGCGGCGGAAAAGGCAGAGCGCCAAGCCAAGCAGCAAGCGCGCCAGAAGGCCGCACTGGCCAGCAGGTGCGTCGGCCTGCTGAAAACGACGTGCACCAAGCTCATGGACCAGCAGCCAAAGCTTGCGGGGGCGGACTTGGACGCCCTCACTGTCGAGGGGCTGAAGGACGCCGAAGTCACGCTCACGCGGTGGTTGCACCAATCCTTGGCCTTCGTGAACGGCGCCAGTGGCGACTTGCCCTTGGAGTACGGGTCCGCCAAGGACGTGCAGGCGAAGTGCAGGGCTGCCACACAGCTGCTGTCCGCGGCCGCGGCCGCGCGCCGGGCTACCATGACTGACAAGCCCAAGCGCGCCAAGGCCAAGGCCAAGAGCAAGGCAGACAAGCAGGGCAACCTCGCCGTGGACCCGGCCCACCCCGCCGACTGAGGTGGGCTTTGCATATAGAAATATACATGGGGGCTCGCCGATATATGTCGCGGGCGCGCAAAGACCTTCGAATCGGGTCTTTGCTTGGAACAGCATGGGGTAACATCCATGTCCACGCAGCCTATGCATGACACACGTGGTTTGTAGCGGCTGGGCCGCGCAGTCATTATATTCGCGGCGGGCCCGCGCAGCAGGCATTCACGTGTGTGGCTTGTGTGGCGGCTGGGCCGCTCAGTCGTCATATTGGCGGCGGGCCCGCGCAGCAGGCATTCACGTGTGTGGCTTGTGTAGCGGCTGGGCCGCTCAGTCGTCATATTCGCGGCGGGCCCGCGCAGCAGGCATTCACGTGTGTGGCTTGTATAGCGGCTGGGCCGCTCAGTCGTCATATTCGCGGCGGGCCCGCGCAGCAGGCATTCACATATAGCGGCTGAGGCCGCTCAGTCAGTCATCACTCTGTGCCGGAGATCTCCTCTTCAGTTTTGGCTGAAGCAGGCGGCGCAACGGTGCCCGCGCACTGCGTATAGGCCCCGGTGTGCACGAGCGCCAAGCATGGATCGCATCGCCAGGGAAGCGATGTGTCCGGCCTCCAGGACGTGTATAGAGAAGTTGCTGCGCGCTGCGCAGGACACCCCGCCGAACAGTGTGCCAGCCAAGCGCGCGCTCCAGCCAAGCAGCGACCTCCGTGCTTTTGGTGACTGCTATGAGCGGGTGGAGGCCGCTGATGGCACGCACCTCTACATAGCTCGCCTGCACAGACTCATGGACCTCACCGCAGAGCACTGCGATTGGTGGCTGCCAGCGCTGCGGGGCTGGGGCCCACGCATCGAGTGCGTGCTCATGATGGACGAATGCACAGCCGGGAATGTGCTGCGCGCGGCGCAGAGCCAGAAAATCACCTTCTTCTACTTGGCCCTTGAGCCGTGCCTCCAGCGCAGTCAAGACCGGAGCTCTCTTTGGCCAGTTGCCTGCGCCACACGGGCGCAGACCAGCAACTTCGCAGCAGTCTCCCAGCTGCTGCAGGTGTTGCTCCGCAAGTGGGCGCAGACCGGCGCCTGGCAGCCATTTGAAGTCCGTGGAGCCCGCCTCCAGCTGGCGCTTACTTCTTTCGTGGCAGACTTCGACGGGCAGCGGCTTGCGTTTCTAGCCAAGGGAAGTGCCGGGCTGAAGCCCTGTTTGTTCTGCTCCAACGTCCTCATGAAGTCCTCGCCGGTCCCAGCGCGCGACTCGACCTTTGTGAGCTTAGATGAAGCGGACGTGCGGAACTTTCAGGCTATACAAGCCGACGAGTTGTTCGCTGTCATGGATGCATATTTGCGTGAGTCCGCAGGGTGGAGCAAGGCTCGACAGCAGGAAGCCGAGAAAAACCTGGGCTTTGTCATCAGCTCAAAAAGCATCCTCGCGAATGCGGTAGACCGGCGGTCCTTCTCGCCGCAGGACGTGCTCATCAACGACTCCTTGCACTGCTACTATTCCAATGGCGTCGCCAGTGCCGAAATTTGCTTGCTCGCTAGCCGCTTGGAGTCGCTCGGCGTTACCACACAGATGCTCGCCGCCTCCATCGCGGAGACCGATTGGCGGAGGCCATCTTCGCGGAGAAAGCACGGCGAGGGAAGCAGTTGGGTGAAGGGCCTCTTTCGGAAAGAGTACTTTAGCGGCGACCTCTACCGCGGCAGCGCAGGAGAGACAGCATCAGTGGTGCCACTGCTATACTTCTACGCGCGAAAAGCTGCAGCGGACTCTCTACAGTTAGAGCTGCAGTCCTTCCAGTGCCTCATGGACTGCCTTCTGGCTCTCAGAGCAGCCGAGGGCAACCTCACAGGTCAAACCTGTGAGCAGCTATCAGAATGTCAAAGGCTGCACCACCTGGCCTTTTGCAGATGCTACGGTGTCAGCGCTCTGCGTCCGAAGCATCATCATCGGCTGCACATCCCGGCCCACTACTTGCGGCACGGACCGTTCCACGCGTGGCCAATGGAGAGTGCGCATCGTTACTACAAGTCTCGTCTGGCGGAAAGCCTTTCGGCCGTCATCACGAGGCTAGGCGGGTTCCATAAAGCCGCTCTGTCCCGTATGCTCCGTGACCAAACCTCTGACCTTGCGAGCTCCCGCCCCCCTGGCACGATTTGCTTGCTGCCACCCATCATCCCCGCGCGGGTGACTCAGGCCGCGTGCGGTTTCTCGGCTGCTCTCAGCGAGACGCTTCACTTGCAAGGAGCCTCCATCTCCAAAGGCGACGTCCTCGTGAGTCCGGTCGGGCGCGAGGCCGTGAAGATTTTGTTCTTTGTGGAGTCCACGCTCTTGTGCGCCGCGGTGGAAGCCTTCGCGCTTCACCGCGCCGAGGCCCACTGCTGTACATACCGTCTGGCGCCTGCCAGCTGCATAATGATGCCGTGTGTCGAGCTCAGCGCTTATAGGCTGTCACGCCACTGGTGCTGCAGTGGCCCAGATCTGCTCTGCCTGTGAGGTAAAAGAGCTGTGGTCTTTGCAGGCGCTCGAAGCGGCGGGCCGCTCCGTGAACGCTCCGCGGCGGGTCCGCGCAAGTCAGCGGCGGGACCGCTCCATTGAACCACTGCTACATGAAAAGCAGAGCTGAAAAATCCTGGGCGGACCAGCCGCCAGCGGACAACCGCTTTGAGAGCAAAAATAGCTGGGCGGACCAGCCGCCAGCGGACAACCGCTTCAAGTGCAAAAATCGCCGGGCGGACCGGCCGCCAGCGGACAACCGCTTCAAGTGCAAAAATAGCTGGGCGGACCGGCCGCCTGCGGAGACGCCGCGAGTTGCATGATCACAAAAAGTAACGAGTCAATCACTGCAAAAAAAAAACCGGCTCCATTGAGCCAAACGAGCTAAACGGCGTAAACTGCATGCGCGCGCCTGCCCTCCTGCGTTGAGCCATGCGCTTCCCAGCGCGCAATGCGTCATCACTGCCATGCTTCAAAACGCATGTGTTTGCCAACTCAATGAACTTAGGATGAACTTAGCGGACTTAGAAAAACCTCTTTTCTAAGTTCAAGATAAGTTACTTATAAGTCCAAGCTAAGTGCTAAGTCACTTATAACTGCAGCGTAAGTACGACCCTATCCCAGTACTGCAGCGGCTTTGGCCTTGGGCTTAGGCTTAGGTGAATTTGCACGCTTCTTGGCCGCAGGATTTGCGTTGGCCTCGTTGCTCGATGCCGCGGCGGCAGATTTGCCGCCCGTGGAGGCATGGCTAAACTTGCATTTGTCACCTCTAGTGCACTTCCCTTGGGCAAAGAAAGAACACGGTGCTTTCTCTCCTTTATTGCCTTTGGGGGAACTTGGCCTGCCACGGGTCGCGGAGCGTCCTCGCGGCTCCTTGCGGTGCGCGTAAGGGCAGTTTGCCCCCCTCGTGCACGAGCCCTTCTGGAAGTCAAAGCAGTACTTTTCCTCGGTGTCCTTCGGCTTAGGTGCGCTCTTTTTCTTGGGGTCCCTCTTTTCAGGGGCGGCAGCACCAGCCTTGGGCGTCGGGGCTTTACTGGCATTGACTTTGGACACGCGCTCTCGGTTCTCGCGAAGCCTATCCCTCTCGATTAGATCCCTCATGCAACGCATTAGGAAATCGTACGATTTGTTGGGATCATCATCACGGCAACGATCATATGTGTCAATGTCGTACCGCAACAGATGGCAGCTTCTCACTTGGCGAAGCAAGATGTCTTTCAACACCTTTTCTTCCGGCGGCCTTTTCATGCCGGCGATCACGGAATCCCAAGCGTTTAGGAAACGTTTGAGATCAATGATTCCTTCGCCGTGTCGCGAGACACGCAACAGGTCCTCCAAGGAGTAGAGGTTTCCGGCTTCTTCACTGGTCTTGAAATATTGGTCAAACATAAACAAGACCTGCCTTCCTCTCATGGCCTTTCCCTCCTTGGCACATTCTTCCTTTGCTGTTAGGATTCGCTGAGCCAGATCGCCTTTCGCTGAACGCGTGAGCGCTGCGAGAATCTTCGTGTCTAGGGTCACGAATTTTCCCGGTTCGCCGAGCTCCTCCAACAGCTTCTTCTTGTCCTCGCGATCGGACCAGACTTCCATGATCCAAGGCCAAGCCTCGTCTGGACGGTCAGATGCAGCGCGGACATCCTCACGAACCGATGTCTTCCATTCACGGTACGTTTCAGGAGTTGGCATCTCCTTGAATCGCAACGTCTCGCTTTCGCGGGTTCTGGGCTTTTCATCGTTCGTGTGGCCTTTTACTAACTTCATCAACATTTTGGCGAATGCTTCTTGGCCGAGGTTAGGCCCGAGGCCATCACCTTCGTCTTCATCACCATCGCCATCGCCATCATCATCAGGTGGCGGACCGCCGGGAGGCTTACCACCCTGCTTGCGGTCATTTGACATTGGCCCCTGAGAGAATTGCAGGGGCGGGACCGGTGCACTTGTTTTCACCGGGGATCGGCTGCTACCTGATGGCTTTTCAGCTGGTCCTTGCGGATCGCGAGCATCTGCGGGCAGTGCTTCGCATTCGGCAGTTGGAATCACGCTAGGGGTATATTCAACCCCGTAACCGTCATAGGTAACAAGCGACCTCAACTTTTCCTTTGCATATTGAAATGGATGGGACAACGGGTCCAACATTGACCTTTGGGACCGAGCTGACTTCATGTCGTCGGTCATCAACTCTGGTGAATCCTCTCGGGTATCACCTACCCCTTTGGGCTTCGATCCATCCTCGCGGAGGTCGTGTTGCTTCTGATACCTCTTCAGCTCATCGAGCTCGTCCTGCAGAAGCCCGTTTTGGTGGGCCATCATGTCAATCATCCTGGCGTTTTTCGCTTCAACACGGGCTGTGTCATCGGCGTGCTTGGCAGCTTGCTCATGAAGGAGCTGCTGGGCTTCCGCCAGGGTGGATTCGATGGCTTGCCTAAACTCAGTTGTTTTGCGTCCCATTTCCGCTTCATGCAATGCTTGGGCATTTTCCTCACACACTTGGCTTATCCTAGCTTCAGCGAAGTTCACTTCTTGGATGAACTCATCGCTCACTCGCTGTTCGTATTCACGAATTCTATGCGACTGGGCTTGCACACATTCAGCGTAGTGTGCATGCAGCTGATTCTGTGCGACACGGAGCTCCTCACGGTTTTCCGCTTGCAAATGCGTGACAGCTGCTTGATGCAGGGCTTCGGCTTCAGACCTAATGGCTGCATCATTCCCAAAAGCAAAGATTGCGGTATTGTACAGTTGAAGGGAATTCATCAGGGTGCGGTTGTACTGCGCATTAGCGCTTGATGCGAACATTCGCACACCGCCGCCGGTGGCGTTGTCGGAGCTAGCTCCGGCAGCATCCACAGGCATGTTGGATCCATCAACTGGCACAAGGGAACCGTCCATTGCTTAGAGCTAGGGGCCTACGGCTGATAACCTATAGATTCAAGGGTTACCGGTTTGGGGCCCAAAAGGAAACAACAAACCGTCCAAGTGCGCTGCTCGCACATTTTCACGCTTGAACAGCCACACTGCGGATGCAATGGATGTAAAACCCCATACTGACCGATCAAATTCTTCAGAATCATGATGCCTTCATTGAATCATGACTAGGTTCTGGGACTTCATGGTGGGTTTCACCAAAACATCCTGAGGTCGGGATACAAAAAACTGCCGACAGTGCCGTGCCTGCACGGACCTGTGGATTCCATGGGCAAAGAGCCGGTGCCTATTGGGTTGATCTAAAAGCGGGTTGAATGAGGCACACGACGAACACGTGATTGCAGCATCTCAACCTGGGTTTTCAAAGTCTTTAAACTGCAACTTTTTCCAAGGAGGTTCTCCCCCAGAAATTAAGAACAGCAAATGCCCCAGAGGTCTGAGTTTTTTCCAGCCCCGGCCTGTCGTTGGGATGCGTCGGCGCCTTCCTGCAGATCTGACGTAGGTCTCTTGGGTGTCAAAGAAAGGCTCTGGCAATCTCCCAAAAATACAAATTCTACGAAGCAAGCTACAGGAACATCTACCGGAATTCCTTGCTTTTGTCGGGTTTTTGGCAAGCTTCCTGCAGAATTTCCTGTAGCCTGCTGAATTTGGATGGGGGAGGCCGCGAAAACGGGAACTCTTTGAGCATGGAGAAACGTGCGTGGCTTCAAAGACCTACGGCCATGTGGCGGATCACTTTGGCCCAGCCATCACCGGCCAAAAAAGGGCGTGACACTTGATTCATTCAGTGACCATGGGAACAAGTGATGCTCTTTCTTGTTGGTTGATTTTGAACTCAGTTCCCAAAGGACCCAGAAATAAAGCTTGACCTTTTGGGACCTTGGCTAAAAACGGACCAACAGTGACTGATAGGTCAAACGGTCGATTTGCTTTGGACAAGTGAGAGAAAAACATGTCCACGAAACTGGAAAAAGGGGGGGTGAAATCCACGCAACTGCTTCAGGACGTCCAATGTCAGCAGCAAACTCGGGGGGTTTCTGCCCTTCAAACGAACACACAAACACAGCCATTGGTGCACTGTCTATGGTTTCTCTGAGCCGTGGCAGTTCCCTTGACAAATGTCGACCGGATGCTAGCAAGCTTCAGCCAATTGGAAACTGGGCTGTTCACAATGGCATGTTGGCCAATCATTTGCTTGTCCATATGGGTGGTTGACCCAAAATGGAAAGAGACTTGGAAAACCACCAACGGGGACCGCATCCTTTCGAGTTTCAGGGTAAGCATCTTTCAGATCACGCCGCAAAGGTCTCCTCAGGGATTTATTGCAACTGGCCCCAATCGTATGGAGCCCAAAAGGGGACACTTGGCTATCTGCCGCAAGGGTTTGCAAACAAAAGGCCTGGAACCGATGACCAAAAGTAAGCAAAGATGGAAACCAAAAGCTTTCGTAGTGTCGGCATTGGGCAGCTGAGTTGATCCCTCCTGACATCGTGCCACTTGGGGGTCAGTAAGGAAGCGAGCCCTGGTCCTCTGGCCGGTTCGTGAGGATGTGACCTCTGCCTATGACGCGGTTGGGGAAGCAGGAGAGGGGGACATGAATCAGGGGTTCAGCACCGGAAAACAACACCTGAGCTGCGGGTGTCTGTTGTTGCGGCCCCCCCCCAAAAAAAACGCGATGTTCCTTGTGGTTCCCTTTGAACCCCCCCCCCCAAAAAGGGTACTATTGGATGGTGGCTGTTCAAACCACGAGGTGAGGTCTGAAATGTCTCGACGCTCCATGATCAAAGGACAAGCTGTCTCAAATCCCTACTTGATTAATGTTGACACCAAATTTATAAACCAATCCTGCTAATAGGGGCGTGTACCTCCAAAAGTGATGCATTCCCACTAAGGACTCCCCCCCACTAATAATAAGGGGTTTGTTAATCCGGGGTTAGCACGATTCTCGGGGACACACAACTGGTGGCTTTCTTTAAGCTTCATAATTTGTGAAGGGTAGCCTCAGAAAACCAACACGCATTGCCGCATTGCACACACAAACACACAAACACACGAGCACACAACCACAGCATCAC